TGGGAGCGCCGAGGACGACGCTCAAAAGAGGAGGGAGGCTATGTAATACGATAGTGGTTTATCCCTCGGTTCTGGTGAGGCGCCACTTTTGTACTTTGAATTAGGCCCCTTGTACCTCACTGGGTGGGCTGACCTTTTGGGTCATGCTAATAGCCCAGACACCTTCTTCATGCTGAATATATATATGTTCTGTCCGAGTATTGTGTCTTCTTTCGTCTTTAGGGAGTCTCGGGACGCTACATAAGGTCTCTCCAAAGCAGACTTTCGAAACAGATTTTCGCAGACTGTCACATTGGTCTGAAGAACATGCACTAAAGTTAAGGCATGATAGCTCAAGCTCCAAGGGAATCTTTTACCTTTTTTGCTTTCGTCCCCTTGGCCACGCCCGTTTTAGGGAGTTGGTAATCACCTCGAACTGAAACCCCGCCCAGTTTCGGTAAGAACTGCTTTTCAGTTTAAATCCGGTGGAGTGACTTGTCGCATCACATACCCCTTCTATTCCTACACTGTTGTATACAGAAATATATCCATCTCATGAGTGATGGCAACACTGAGAACTCAGTAAGTTAATGTTACTTAAGTACGGAAATTCAAGACTATTTTGATTTACCGCTTTATGACTCAAACTAGGTCTCTTCGTTACTATTTACTGTGTCAAAAAAAGGGAGACAAGAAGGCCAAATTTTTAACATGAAGCTTCTAATTTTGAGTAAAACTTTTCTTCGTAGTAGTAATTTTCCATCGTTTTATTTCAAAAGGCAAAATATGTGCCACCAAGTTTTCCTTACTAATTAAGGAATCATTTATCAACTACTGCTATAATGCTTACCCAATTAACGGTAAATTATGTATGTAAGAGTTTATGCGAGTATTTTTGGTTGTTATTTTGCTATCATAAGTTCTCTTTTTGTGTTAGGCTTCTTAACCTTTATTTTTACACCATCACAAGTTTGTGACTCCATAGCGGCTACTTATCGTTTTACTCAGTCCCAAATGTGTATTACTAAAGTGGAAGACCTAAAAGTTTCCATTTCAAAATGGCATTCCGTAGAACTTTCTAGACATCTCGCGCCGTAAAATGGTATGTTAAGCTTCGATTGCCCATTGGTTCATTTACGGAAGGCGGTACAAGTTAAAGTCCGTATGCCAACAGGTCACGCTCCTCACTCCCCCGAGTTCTCTTTAGCCAATCAGATTCAAGGTGTTATTCGCATACCTATTATCATTAAAAATGGCCGCTTTTTGGAGCAAAACTGCGTCAAAGTACGGAAACATGATGTGTCTACATTGAGTACTGCATGGCCGGTATTTACTTCTCCAACTTAGTTTTATTTATTTATTCTACGGTATTTTTCATGCAATTCTCGACAACCATATCAGAAAGTGATTAAACGACTTTATGCTTTCGGCTTAATTGCCTCTACGCGTTTTTAGCATTTCTGAACCTACCATAATGAGGACTATTCGTCACTATATATGTATGCATAATTAGCTCATTATAAGTTTAGTAAATAGTTCATTTGAGTAGATCGGTCATTGGTGATGACATTCTATCAGTGTTGGATCATAAATACTATTTTGACCCATAGCCGATTTTCCTTATTTAGGAAATTAGCTACCAATTGAGGAGAGATTTAAATTTGGCAGCTAAAGAATGTTTTCCCGTTGTCCCTTGTTTCAGCTTCAGCACGAGTTTTAGGGATCCCCTTTTAAGGTTCTGGATGTTACTTGAATCATGTTCCACCCGCCTGTCGTAGATTAGTTATAAAATCCTACTTTTATTTTAAAACCCTTCATACTTCACTACTTCACACAACCAAACAAAAAATAGTACTATTATAGGCTTTATTGCTAGGAGACTTTTTGGATTTTGTTAGTGAATTGCAATGCCTGCACGAAAGAGTAAGTTAGAGCAAGTTGTTGCCGCACCCGTGGGCACACTATAATAGGGGTGCTAAGAATAGGGAGAGGAGAATAGGCAGATGAAGGCGAAAGATGATGAATGATGGTGTGTAGTGATTTTGATGGTAAGAGAAGTGTGTGTATGCGTGAAAGCCTATGGAGGACGAAGAACTGCTCTCCTCCTCGTTGCTGATGACCTTGTCGGTTTAGAAGCACTTGCGGTGGACGATGCCAGGGCCCGATTCGTCGTACTCCTGCTTGGAGATCCACATCTGCTGGAAGGTGGAAAGGGAGGCGAGAATGGAGCCACCGATCCAGACAGAATACTTGCGTTCAGGTGGCGCGACGATCTTGATCTTCATAGTGCTGGGTGCCAGTGAGGTGATCTCTTTCTGCATACGATCAGCAATACCTGGGTACATGGTGGTACCACCAGACAAGACGGTGTTGGCGTAGAGATCCTTACGGATATCCACATCGCACTTCATGATAGCATTAAAGGTAGACTCGTGAATACCGGCAGATTCCATGCCAAGGAAGCTGGGTTGAAATAGAGACTCAGGGCAACGGAAACGTTCATTGCCAATGGTAATGACCTGACCATCAGGAAGCTCATAAGACTTCTCAAGGGAGGAGCTGGAGGCGGCAGTGGCCATCTCCTGTTCAAAGTCGAGGGCGACGTAGCAGAGCTTCTCCTTGATGTCGCGAACGATTTCACGCTCTGCAGTGGTCGTGAAGGAGTAGCCACGTTCGGTGAGAATCTTCATGAGGTAGTCGGTGAGGTCACGACCGGCCAGATCAAGACGTAAGATGGCATGCGGAAGAGCGTAACCTTCATAGATGGGCACACTGTGGGTGACACCATCACCAGAGTCAAGCACAATACCGGTGGTGCGACCAGAGGCGTAGAGCGACAACACGGCCTGGATGCCAACGTACATGGCCGGTGTGTTGAAGGTCTCGAACATGATCTGGGTCATCTTTTCACGGTTCGCCTTGGGGTTGAGTGGTGCCTCAGTTAGCAATACTGGGTGTTCTTCGGGGGCAACACGCAGCTCGTTGTAGAAGGTGTGGTGCCAAATCTTCTCCATATCGTCCCAGTTTGTTACGATACCGTGCTCGATAGGATACTTCAGCGTGAGAATACCACGCTTCGACTGGGCCTCGTCTCCGACATAGCTATCCTTTTGGCCCATACCGACCATGACGCCCTAGATGATAAAATAATCATATTCAAATCCCCCTAAAAGTTTAATCAAGTTTCACATCCTAATGCGTATTCCCCAGCCAATCGGTACTATGTAAATAGACAACTTTTTCCGTACAAATACGGAAGCAGCTCCTCTTAAAGGTGTCACAAACCTGATGACGGGGACGTCCAACGATGGAGGGGAAGACGGCACGAGGCGCGTCATCACCTGCGAAACCGGCTTTGCACATGCCGGAGCCATTGTCAACAACGAGGGCCTGAACTTCTTCGTCTCCCATGGCGAGTCTAAGGGAAGTAGATGAAGGTTACTACACACGATAAAGCCGGTCCTCCAGCCCTCTTCACCGCTTATATAACTCCTCTGTGGGCATATATGGTCTACCCCTTGTCAATTGGTTGGGACGGGCGCAGTTGCACAGCAGATGCCTGAAAGATCATTGGTTAGCGCCGGGTGACGAGGCCATGGGCACGCGTGCCATAAACACAGGCCAAATATGGCAACTTTCCGATGCAGAGGGGGCAAGACGATCAATAGCCAGTGGCCACAAACCTAGACGGGGAAAGATTATCGATAGAAGGAAGGGGATTGGCCATCACGAATTATAGCATTAAAGTGTTTCCTGAAGGCCTAAGATGGAACAGTTTGGAGGGGTCTTACACTATATTACATGCGTATGGTACAAATAAAATGAGCTCTTTTACTTTAAATTGTCTCATTTCCATTTCTTCAAGTTATCAATAGCCGAGCCACCTTGTATATTAGGTAAAGATTAGTTTCAAGTTCTTGAAATAGGTTGGAATAATTTGTTTATAGACCTCATATTTAGTTATGACCTCTTAAACAATCCATTTTCGCAATATATCTATTTCAAAGCAAAGCTCATAAAGGTACGTGTCCGAGTTTTTTTGTCACCGCCCAGGCATTAACGGATGTGAGTTTTAAATAACTTGTTTGTTTATCCACCAAACAGCAGATAACTACAAGGTTTTAACCTGTTTTATGTGTAGCTTCCCATAATGGGTTATTATAACCCGTAAAAACTTGAAAAAAGGGTCAATTGTTTATAACTATGCATTACAAAAATTAGGTGAATTTGTGTAAGTTGAATGTACTTCATGGTTGTGGCTTGAGTTTTGCGTACTCGACAAATCAAGTTTAACCTAACAAAAAGTTAAAAGATTCCCTTGGAGCTTGAGCTATCACTCCTCAAACTTGGTGCATGTTCTTCAGACCAATGCGACAGTCTGCGAAAATCTGTTTTGAAGGTCTGCTTTGGAGAGACCTTAAATCTACTTAGACAAGGCTCATCCTATTCAAATGGTCAGGGTTGATTGACTGTAAAATTACATTTAAACGCAGTCCTCAACATGTTGGTATTGTTAATAAAGTCCTCTGTAAATATTTCACGAAGTTTGGATGGTCTACTGCCAAGGTGTCTAACTTCGGTAGAAGGACAAGGTGCGAAGTATTTTGAAGGCCATATCGAAACATCACTTATTACCGATGATCTTTTCAACGGTTGTAAACATAGTTTTGAATAGTTAATTCTCCCTTAGGCTTTATCTTCAACTATGGTATATCTGATCACCAGAAATCTTGTGGGGTTTTCAGGCATCGGTCAATGTAACGGCATCTTGTGATTTGCAGGGACTCGTAAATTTTCTGTGGATGCCTATG